TTCTATCTTGTTCTTGCTCGCTCGCGTGGTCTTCCGTTCCCGCTCACGTCCGCGTGACTCATGTCGCGGCGTGCGACGCGCCTCGATAAGTGTCGCCGTCTCTTGGGGATTTCGGGAACCTCGTCGGGGATTCCCCCTCCCCCCTTCTGCCGCGTTGCGCGGAGCCGCGAAACATCTCCGGCGGAGGGGATGCTCCGTCGTTGCGGTGGGGGCCGCAGACGAAGGGAGGAGAGGGCCTAGCTACGGCAAAACTTTTGTCCATTCACGGCCGACACGCTCCTAATTGGGAGTACGCTCCGAGGTCTCGTTCCACGCGCACGGATGCTGCTGGACCGGACCGGAACTGATACTTAGGAATCGTATTTCTTTTTTCCTCTCGCGCTCGCGATTGACACTCACGCCCGAGCGTGTGGGAGGGATATTTTATTTATCAAATCTACAACAGCAACAATGTCAATCGCCGATCGAAATTATTATTTCGCCGGAAAATTATGTTCTCAAATAGATATGCCATTGTAAGTCACGTACACGTTAAAAAGTAAATTTGGTAAAAGAGGCATATAAAGGTTAATAAAAATTAAATTTGTTAAGCGTCGAAATGCATATTCAGACATGCGAAAACATGTTTTTACGCAAAAGCGTCCTTTATACTCCGCACGTCAATGTGTATTTGTCAGCATTCATGCATGCTTATCTAAAGGAAGTTATATTCGCTACATACACATTCACATATGTCAATGCAATTTCCGTTCGGTGAACAGAAAGTTTGATCACTAGAATTGAATGTAGTGTTTTTTTCAATCATGGTCTTGAGAGTTGTTATTTCGCGTCGAAATTGCAGACATTGTTGCAACGATTTTTTTACAGATTTGTTTTATAGAAATAGGATGGATTCGCGACACGACCTAATTTTAAAAAATACTGCACGACTAGATGGATTCGACTGTGGCATAAAAATCGTTATCTGATATTAATTCTACGTTTATAAAACGATATGCTGCAAATTATTATCGCTATTTTGTAAGTGTTCGCATTTGAGAAACGTTCGAATTTTGATGATTCAACTTTCATTGCAATTCACATTCGAAAAAAGTTTGCTGAGGACTGTGCTCATGTGCAAATAAAACAAATGGCTTTTGGACAAAATCTTCTTTGTGATAAAAAAATATTTTGAAGTAGTAATAATTCGATTGACAGAGGAAAATAATTCGCGGAAATAGCGTTTTTGCAATGCGAGTTTTTTATGTTGTGCAATAATGACGAATCAGCGTCAATATGAAAGTCAATATGATGATGTCGAGAAATGTACCATGCTAACGAGCTGGGAGACTCACTCGATTGTCGTCGATAGTACCGCGAGTCAGAAAATTGCGCTGCAATCTTCTGCGCGTCGCCAGACGGAGCAATGTACTTTATTCCATTGCGCGTTTTGTCACATCGTTGGTTTATTGAATTACTATGAAAGAAACTACTCTTCGAAACTCGTCAAAAAGAACCTAGCGTATAATTTCTATTGTAAACATAGTCTTTCGCCTTTTGTTACTAGTTACTAGTTATGGCTCTGATCTAATGATGCCTCTAAAATGGCAAGCCATTTGCAACTTTGCTTGATTTAGAAACCGCATCGAATTAAAAGTACGAATTCACACTGCTCAACTACCGCGTCGCAGAGAGAGAGAAGTTAATTCGCTTTCATGATTTACACTTTGGTCGGGAACGTTTTGGTGCGTTATACTTATTCAGACGTTACTTTACAATATGAATAATTTTGGGATAAGTTTATTAAAATAACTGAAAAAAATATATCCTTAACCAATAACAAGTTATTATGGCATCTTACTGCCAACAAAATCTGACTCTTATATTAAACATTAATTTTACTTAATTCGTTCTTTCTCTTTCTCTATATAAATCATATATTTTATTTATATTTTCTTCAATCACAGTAAAATATAAAAATATAAAATTGCACAATTTTGTCGATATAACTGATATTTAAGGCCTATAGCGAAGATTTGATCTGAAGAAACTTCGGTTTTCCCATCAGGTTAGACGAACGGCGTGCCTACGTCATTAGCTCGTAGCCTAATCAATAGACATAATTATGAAACTATGCGCCATTAATAGTCCCGAGCCGCGCGGGTCATAATCTCGTGGTGAAGGACGGTACGGTACTAGTTCGCGCGTTATTAAGCGGGTGTATTTTATAGGAAACCGGTAGTTGGGTAATAACGAGCGAGGGTTGCCAACGTTCGATTATGGTTCCTTAACATTATTACATGCTAAAAGAGAATAACTAATAAAATGCACCGCATTGTGCCTTCCAAGCAATATTCAATTATGGCGTTAGAAAATCTTAACATTCACATTTAATCCTTATACCTGTTTCTATTAATAATTAACAATATCAATACATTAATTTGCGTTATATAATGTCATTCTCAAATAATAGCAAATAATTATAATCTAAACAAGAATTGGAAAAGTAAGATAATATTTAAAATAAACACGTATCGTACTTTGTTTTTCAAAATAAAAAATGTATGAAAATTACTTCATTTTTAAATAAATAATACAGGAAACATATCGAGTTCCTTTTCTGAACTGATTTATAACTTTTATAAAACATGATAAATGATAAATTATTGAAACATCCGGTAAAATATTGTACTTTTTACGGAGAGTCGTCGTTCATTGACATCTGTCCGATTTCTTCCTTTTTTCGTCCCGTGGTTGACTTGCCGCTAATCAAAGGATGCGACAATCGTTTGCATTTCCTGTGGCCAGTCATTAACATCGGCACGTTTCAGTGGGGCTTTATCGTTTATCAGCTAGCGACAACACCCTTCTATGTCGGCCACTTTGCCGCAAGTCGGCCGCGCCATCCCCAAATCGCTAAACTATCCTCCAAACACCAAGTACCGCACTAGGGAAACTTCGACGTTAGCCACCCTCACACCTTCGCCGTTTGACCCTAGAATCGGCCAAGTGGCCGAGAATCTGACCAACGAGCAATTACGGACGAGGTGCCGAAAGATTTTGCGGTGGGAGATTTACCACTAACCGACATTATTTACGGAGCTGACTGGCGGGCAATTCTATTTTCGAGATGTGCCCAAGACTCGCCACTTGATAGTGATGTTTGACAAAACGTTTCAAACGTACAAATTATCTTAATGAGCGAGCGACTTATAAATCACGCGGCGCACTGACAGCTATACATTCGTCAACCACGGGCATGTTAAATCTTTTTTAATTTTTTCTCATTTTACCTGCGTGAAATGACAGATCGCTTTTTTTTCTTACTAATAGTCAACGATACAAATAGTTCTAGTAATGGGACTTACGGCAAATGACCATCGGTCTTAATGGATATCACTAGCTTGCGTTATTCGTCAATATTGTCAGAGAAACTCGGTAATTTAATTTTTCCTCATTAACTGTCCCTGATGTACGTACTGATTCGTCAACGGTTATCGAAACAGACGATTTCGTATGAGTACCCGTGAAATACACTCTTAAACAGCACGCTGTAATTAACCTGCTTTGATATTCCGCCTGTCAATTAGAATTCGTGTGTTTGCTCTAAGAATCGCAGTGTCAGTGATGTGACAGATGAAATGTTTTTATTTATCGGCAAGTAAATTTCACGGAAATTTAACGTAAAGTTGCCCGACAGTTATTGGAAAAATCCGATATATAGTATACTTATAGCGAATGTACACGATTTTGTGTGTGTGTTCACGATACGAAAGAGATCATAAATATTAATAATTCATTTCTCTCTGAACTTATTTTAGTAAGTAAAATATTGATATGTCATACAGCAGCATCTAACATGTATTAAAATTTAGCGTTCAGATATAATAATTCTCGATATTGGAGCGGCAATATATTTCTCACTTATACGCTCCGAAATGTTATTTACAATCTTATATTAATCTCTCTCACTTTCTTCGACGCTCCATATTTCTCGTATATACTTTTGCGAGGACTTTATAGACGTCAAAACAAATGTGAAATTTGCCTGTTTTACAGCAGATTATATTTAATTGCAGTACAATTGTAACGACATGTCACGTAGATGAAGCTAATCTTAACTAGCGGTTTCTAATAAATACTCTGTGCGCGAATATGCACGAGTCATCGTTACCAGTAATAAATATAACCATGTTGAACATTCTTATCGGTTTTTTGTCGGCTCTATATTTAACATTTTGATAGCTGTACATATTCATAATTTTCTTCATACGTTATCTGCGATTTAATTTACACAATTCGTCAAGACCGCAACGCTATATCGATAACCAACGGCTCCAGAATATCGCGGTGACATTTATAGCGCGATACTAACGCGTGTTTAAACAGAAAACGCAAGAGGCTTTTCGAAGTGTGTGTATTTTTCTTTCGAATTACGTGGAGCGGCCTGTCCCATCGCGTAAATACCGGCAACGTATCGAATGACTGTGTATTACCCCGCATCGTAGTAGATTTTCTGATTTAAACGCTCCTACTAGCAGCGAACGCGTGACACGGTCGAACCCTCCGGCAACCCTCCGGGATTATCTCACCCCATGCCAACGCGGAGCGGCCCATTTCCGGATATACGTAGAACGAACGTACACCTACAAAGTTCTCTCTCCCTCTTGTAACACAAAATACACTCGATCGGCACAATCCTGATCACTTCGCTCTCGCGTGACCCAAAATACTCGCTCCTCAGCCTATCCGCACTAATCCTCGTCACCGAAGCTACGTGCACATAGACGCAACGATCGCGATCACTTTCCTGTCACGTAACGAAGGGATACTTTCCGATTTCTCTACGTTCGCACTGATCGGCTACGCGATTCTTTTCCGGCCGAACGTTGCGAAGGTCGCGTAATCATCACTTCGGTCTCGCACGACGGGCAACGCGGGGAGGAATCACACTAATCAACAGCACCAAACTACTACCCCGTGGGAGTTATCGAGCGTGGAACATCGTGTCGTGCACTTACCTGTTGCCAGAAGTGGGCGAGCGTGAATAAGGGCTCCTTCTTGTAGAGCCATTCCATGGTCGTTATATTCCGCGAGTTGGCCTCCGCGGAGGCCTGCATGCTGGCCAATGCCGCTGAGTTCAGACCCGCTAGTATGGGCTGCTGGAGTGCCGCTGTCACGACGGAGGTGTTGCTACCGGCTACCAGATTGGCGTGGTACACGGTCGCGGTCGGCGCATCCTCCGAACCACCAGTAGCCAGTAGTTGGGCCCCGATCGGCGCTGACGGCCCCTGGAGCCCCAGTGACGAAGCCACTTTGACGGCTTCGAGCTTCTCCGGCGGACGCAAAACTGCTCTTCCTCGTTTGCCGCCTCCGCCGCCGCCGCCTCCGCCTCCGTTGCCGGTCGCACTCGGGGAACACGTTTTAGGCGGCGGTTCCGTCGGTACCGTCTCTCACCGGCAGTCCACGATGCAGCGCGTAGCGTGTCACGACTGTCACGCGTCCACTCGGCGGCTCGCGCTTTCGTGTTATTGCCACGCGATGAGCATCGCCGGGCTGACACTCTCCCGCGGCAGCGCGCATTCGATCTTCAGACGTTTCTTTTTCGAGAATTTTTCAATCGTTACGATGCCGTGCGTTGCAAGTGTTTGATCGTTATCACTCGTATACGGCGCGTACTCTTATTTATCGATTTCTAGTCTAAGCGAAGTACTTCGATCGGTTTCTCTCTCGTCGTTCTGCCGATCCGAGCCGATCGTCTGAGCTTAGGTATATCACGTCGCGATTCGTCCACAAGCAGTCGTCGAATCAAGTTGCACGACACAATTCTGACGGGCTAGATAATAGTCTCACGTTTGTCGAAAACGCGCTCGGTACCACGGCATTATCAGCACTGTGCTAAGTGTCTCGATCTTCCTCGATCGACGGATCGTGTTGATCCGTATCATTCGTCACCGTATCATTAGCCACTACTGTTAGAGGGTCATAGAACTCCTGGACCGGACCAACTCCGCGGACTTGTCAAGATCGCGCAGTCTCTCACGGACAGTCCGCCAATATCGACGTTGTGCTCCTCTTCGTCGTCCTCGTCGTCTACGTAGCGATGATGCGAGCAGATCTCTACCCGCTGCCGCATCACACGGCGCGCATCACGGAACGGATCAGTGTTTCTCACTCGCGTCAAAATCGGGACTCAGTCCGCGACACTCGCGCACTTCGGGTGCACAATCGACTTACACAAAAAAAAAACAATCACGACGATGTGAGCACGGAGTCTCCTCCAGTCACACGAGGAAGATCACTTCGAGATTCGGAACACTTTGGTGACACTTGAAGGTAACACTTGATCGATACGCCGCGCGATTTCGAAATCTGCTCTCCTCTCGTAATCCGTTCTTCAGCAGAGTCTCTTGAGTCTCATTGATATCAGTTTGACGGCAGGCCGGATGTCTCACGTCCAGAGTACCTTCTTCCGTCGAAGGGCAGAGAGGTAAAGAGACGATCGTGTTTTTTTTTTCTTGATATCCTCTCCTCCTTCCTCGTTTCGTGGTTCCACTGAGTGGTTCCACTGAAGCACCCGGGTCGCGAACCCTTTCGTCCGCTCTCGTCCGGATGACCTCAAGAAGAGAGAACGAGACCCGTCCTAGCAGGCTCCTAACCTGAAACTAAGAGCTACCGGACGACCGATGCAATGCCTGGAGGAGGCGCAGAGCCAATGGTGGGAGATAGGCGGGAACTACGACTCGTAGTGGGGTAGTCCAACCCCCCACACGACCAATCTTGGATTCTGGGAGTATCCCCACTACGGTCGCGCGCCGTCTGATCTCGGAAAGGACACCGCGTGAGTGGGGATAAGCCGCGGGAAGGAGCGGGAGGCCGCGGAAAGAAGCGGAGGCTGGCTAGGTGGTCCCTACCAAAGCGGATCTCATATTTTCAACTCCCCGACCGCCCTTTTCCAACCCCTGCCGATCGCTAGTTCCCTTCTTCCGTTCCTTACTCTTTTTCTTCTGATTTCCCATCCTTTCCATCCGATCTATCCCCCTTTCGCTCCGTCTATCAGCCTGTTTCATTTTTTCGACTTTCTATATCCCCCCCTCTCCCGCTTCCGCCTCTCATACTGTCTTTCTCTGTTCTACCTCTCTTTCTATCTTCTTGGTCCCGCCAAAACCCCTCATCTTAACAGCTTAAGTAAATATCCTTTGTTGAAAAAACATTCAAGTTAGGTCTAAAATTTGTCACAATCTCCCGAAGATGACAACGTCTCTATTACTCAGTAAACTATTAATGACTCTGAGCAAAGTTGGAAATCATTTGACAATAATCAGAGAACACTTTGAACACCAATCGAACACTTAATGAGATCGATTAAATTTAATTAAATATTATTCGATATACTTTTTTCTCTTAGAACTTTTTCTTAGTCCACTATCCATTGAATTGTGATTGAAGAAGGATACCAGACGAAAAACACAAAGGAGAAAGAAAGACAGTTGAGAAGTATAATAAATACAAGTAAATGACAATTATGTATTAGAACTCCAAAATAGTGTAATAATGTAAAACATTTTTAAGTAAAATTCAGAATTTGATTAGCTATTTAAATATCTTTTTCTTAGATATATGACGGAACTCTTTAGAAAATAAAAATTACGAAAAAAATCATGATTTGGCAAGCAAAGTAGTTCAAACTGTCATTTACGCAAGAATAAAAATTACAGGCTATCCAAAAGTCTTCTTCGCGCGGCATATCCACCATTACACGCGGTGCCTCTCCTTTTCACTTAATTACTTGAAAATTACTTCAAAAAGCAGGACAAGGGTTTCCTTCCTAAATCGTGAACTGCATCTACCTGAAGTTGAAAACTAACAGCTTAATCAACAGGAACACCGTACTTCAATCAATAATGTCATTCATTTACTATAAACGCGCGGTTAAAAATTGAATTTATTAAATCTCGCTGCTTGAACAATCAAATAGTTCAGTTCACGACATAGGCGAGAGATTTCTTAGTAAATTTTTTTTATTTCTCTATCTATTCGAGCAAATCACATGATTGTAACTACACTCTCAGAAAAGAATTCTAGATACAATACTATTAGGATCGAAATAAGGCCAATCATATTTAGTATTAAAAGAAGAATATTTTAATCTTAAATAGAGGAATTCTTGAATCTAGAATAATTCTGAGAAAATTAGAGGGATAGCATCAAGATTATTTTATTCTAGATTTAAGAATATCTCTATTTAAGATTAAAATATTCTTTTTTCTAGAAGTCTAATTTAAGAATTCCTTTATTTAAGATTAAAATATTCTTCTTTCAATACTAAATATGATTGGCCCTATTTCGATCCTAATAGTATTGTATCTAGAATTCTTTTCTGAGAGTGTAAAGTTCTTCGTATCAAGGGACAAGATATTTCGTTAATATTAAATAAAAAATTTGATATGTCGTACGTACTTTTACGATCTTAATCCTCCCACAAAAAGAGAAGAGAAAAAAAAGCAGTACTGAGCAGTTTATATCAGAATTGTTCTTGTCGCGATGTTATGGGGTTGACTTACGCGTCGTAAATAAAAAAATAGGCTAAGGGCACACGCGTGCAGATAATAGCCCACTGAAGGGGTTAGCCGGTACAACCCGCCTTTTACCGCGGTAAACCCACTTCGCACCAGTTAACTTAACTGGTATCGAACCCGGCGCACATACGAGCACACGTAACGTTCATTTTCATACTGATTGTCTGCGGTATTGACTTTCGACTCCGCGAGATTGATTGTTGCATTTATATAACTCTAAACAATTTTATTTCCGGCATAATGAATTAAACATTAAACGAGAAGAGTTATAATATCATGTTGATTATCATTGTGAAAAAAATTGTCTGTGACATTTCAAAAATTTAAGTTAAAAAAAGTATCGAAAAGCTAACAATTTTTTCGAGTTATAATATCTGAAAAACGTGTGTTTTAAGAAGATAATGTTACAACTGTTTGTTTGGACATACAATTGTCAGTTTAGAGCACAGTACATTCTATATATCTATGCGAGGAAATCACTTTTAATTTTTATTGCAATAATTTTGCAATGCGAGATACAGTATGTCAACTAACGCGTGTTAACTTTTTTGTCGATCGTTAAGCAAGAATGATATTAATAAAGAAAGAAAAATTCATTAATTTCCCAAAAACTTACTAATTTTTATGAGACATTTCTAGCAAATGATAGATTATTGCAGAAGTTAATGCAGAAAGTTGCAGAGTATTTGATTAGGTGTAATACTGACAATGAGTATCTATAGTTTGTGTAATACCGAGCGCATCGTCATTAGAATACTGACTGGATACTTGTTGCTCGATTAACGCAACAAAGTTGCAGCGTGATGATCGATTTCGTACGATTAAGTATTCTGCGCTAATTCGCAATACCATCAACAGTTTGGGATTGGTTTCTATACGGCTAACGCTAACGCGGCTGTTTAGCTCAAGGAATTTCAGCCGGTTATTATTAATGTGACAATGTCTGTTTTCATATTCTACAACGGATATCATTCGTCTCGTTCATTCGTAATCGCGAGCGATGCAAGAAGATAAGTGATAATCGAAAATCGTTGCGACACGGAGAGGAGGATGTCATTTATAATTATTAACGGAGGAAATCTATTGCGTTTGATCATTCTAATAGACGTAATATTATGAAATCATTATCCCTAGCAAAATGATCGCCAATAAGACAAGACCTCAATGTATCCTCATGTTGGTGCGATTTCCGCGCGAAGTGTTATTTCGAAATCACTTTCAGTGCTCAGACGCGTTTCGCCACAACGGCGACGAGAATTCGCGAGAGGTATTGATTGCGCCATGAAGTCCGCAGAAATTTCATAAACTTGTAATTTTCGGGACCAATGTGACGCGGTGTTACGACAGTTTGTGCGCTCGCCGGGGGCTAACGCGCGAGATTTATCAGGCGCGACTAAGCCACGAAAATACTACACGACTGCCGACTTGTCAGCGCGTACTTTACGATCACCCGGTATAGCGCAGGGATTAGTTTGTCAACGCCGGCCGGCGTGCGCGACGTGCGTGTGCATCCGCGTACACGCGTGTCGCGATGGGCAAGATTAGCAATCCTCGCGTCTTGCGTCTT